ACCGTTTGAAAAAAATACATGAATGAAAAGTAAATGATGTCCTACATTAAGAACAAAATTGACAATGAATTTCTCACTTATTTAACTCACAGGAATTAGAAAAAAGTTATTCATATTCAATCAGACATACCACATGTCAATATGTCAATACGTATATCTAAAGTCGTAACGTAGAATAATGAGCGTTACGTAAACCTGTCATGGTGACGTAAGCGTTTCATTATGATTTAATCCTGTCATCGTCGTATATTTATCATCGTGACGTAGACTTGTCATAGTAATATAGACCTGTCATTGTAAAGTAATGCTCTATCATCATGACGTGGACCATTGTAATGTTTAATTTTGACAATGTTCTATTGTTTTATTTGTTCAAGAGAATCCATTATAAGTAACATGTTTTATATGATTTGACATATCTCTAAAGTCATCGTAACGTAGACCTATCATCGTGACGTATAACTGTTAACGTCGTATATCTATCATCGTGATGTAAATAAGTCATCTTGATGATGATATGTCATTGTGACGTTGATCGTTTCCATGAGAATCACAATTTACTTTGCACATAATAACAAAGAAATCAACGTTACTAAAGTAATATTTTTCATAAGTAATTTAAATATAATTAATATAAATTAACAATTAGAAGAAATTACAAACGATATTGAATTTTGACGGAATTCATATTTTAAAGATGAATAAATATGCAAAGCACTTGCCAATTCTAATAATAAATCCAGATTCCAACTATAAATAAGATGTTGAAATAATTATGAATTCACCTTTATGAAATAATATTAAGCATTGAGAGGATAGATTTCATTTTATAAATAAGTATAAGAAGTGAAAAGTTTATCAAGAAATAATATATAAATAAATATAATATGTATACAAAGTAATGTAAAAAGTAACTTTTTCTAGATTAAATGTACAATATTTTCTTATTTGAGATGAGAAAACGTAATGTACTTAGTTTTAATTGTTTTTGTCTGAGGATGGAGGACAAATAAACGTATCGTATCGGCATCTTAAGGTCCCAGAAACCAAGTGCTCTTCCCGAACTTGCCGCAATTTTCGTGCATTGACCTCGAGCGACGATCAGTACTCTCAGGACGAAATCCGTGGCAATATTGTCGTCGACAGCATAACCAAAAACGAGAAACGTGCAGTAAATTTGCATGCGCAGCTTATGCAATAACAACAACAACAAAAACAACACCCCGAGTGCAATTCATATTCCTAGAAATAATCTCAATGTTTTATCCACTCTCCCATTTGAATATATGAGAAAAACCTTCTGTTCTAGTGTATATATAATATAGCGAATTCCTTGTTTATAGTTACAAAACTATTCAGTATAATAGTTTGCAGAAATGTGATTGTAGTTGGAGGTAAAACTACAAGTATTGATTTTCAATTTCGTATTTGAAGTTTATGGGAAAATGTGTATAATTAATGAGGGAAGCTTAGTACCTTGGAGCACGTCTTGCGGTTGTTTCGATGGGTCCATTAAGTGGCAGGCGATAAATAATTTCGCATCCTCTTCTTCATTCGACTTAAACAACCCCCGCATTTTATTTACCTTGCCATCCGCAGACGCAGCAGCTCGCTCATATTTTTTTTTCTTTTGTTTGCTAAAGACATGCCCCCAACAGACGTCTGCTGAATTATCGAAATATTCACTTCCTCCTGAAAATTTTCTTTAATTTATACCTCACGAGACCTACGAGCCGCCCAAAAAAAAAAAATTACTGTTGTGGTATATTCCTGTAACACAAGTAGCACCTCTAGAGAACTAAAATCAAAGCTTTTAGGGCTCTATCTGAAGAAGACTAGTGGCGCCTCGCTTTGAACTAAAATTCGATGTGTGCACCACCACAGTAAACTTGTATGTAATTTTTCAGAAGCGTAAAGAATGGGGCGAATATATCCGCCGCAAAGGTTTAAATTGATATTGGAACTAATAAACATTGGAATGATAGCGTATAAAAGTGTGGTTTTAGGTTAAAACACCTTCAGGATTTTAAACTATAAATGATTAAAAAGGTGGTTTCGAAAATAGAATTAAAAAAATGCTACTTAATCAATATTAATACTAATAATTCTGGATTTCATTAATAAAGTATTTCAATTTTACTAGGTAATAATTTTTGTTATTTTATTTTCCTAATTCCTTAAATAATCCTCTTTCCATTTAAATATCCATTAATATAACTATAAGATGAAAAATAAAAATGTTCGTGTTAAAAGCAAAGAAGCACCAGATTAATATATAAATGAGACTAATGCACGGCATTTCGAAATAATGGCTATATAACTAGAACTATATAAGTGCATAGCTTTATATGCGGATTAATTATAAAATGAGGAAAAGCCACAAATTCGCCTTGATAGGTCATAAAATCCGTCTAATCTGCGAACTCGACGTGCATGTATAAGTACTAATATTGGGGCTTTATTGAAGCAAAGCAGTCGCGGCTTCGGCTGCAGACGGCATTCGTTATAGCAATAAACATTAAACCAACTTAAAGCAAGTAATTGCTTACTTATATATATATAATATCAGTCGAAATTGCTGAACGGTCCTATAGCAGAATCAGGATCATCGTAAAACAGGTTTATTTTAACTAACTAACTGAATGTTTGTTAATTCAATTAGAAATTTTAAACTGTTAACGTTTTCAAAAAGTATCAATAAACTAGGTATTTCAGTTTGTGTTAATTATTTTCTCAGTTTACGAATTCCAATTTTGTGTATAAGTTGGTAGTAAATTGATTCTAATTTTATGAACTAATAATGTGTACGGAACAATTCAGAAAAGAATTAATTCATTACGTAAATAGATCATATATATTTTGAAAATAAACTGAAGGATTAAAGAATTGTAAACGAAATAAATGAAAAGAGATTATTTGAATTACTTAATAAAAATCTTAATGCATAACATTTTATAGGTCAAGTTTGAAACTCCTGTATTAAACATTATTATTATGTAACTAATGGAAACTGCAATAGGGCACTTAACTACTAGATAATTTGCTGAATGTTAACTAATGATAATAATGTTATGTAATATAAACAATAAATTTTAACAATAAAAACAATATTTTATCAAGTAGATTAAAAAAACTACATAAAATTTCACTGAGTCTACTTTTTTTTTTATCACTGGACAACATTTGATATTTCATATTAAGCACCGTTTGTCAATCTATGGTTACAGCAAAGAGTTTAAACGCTGCTATAAAGTTTTATTTTTGGTATTGTTTTTACAATAATATCTATTGAAATTTAGATACTTGAGAGGTTGAAAGTAATGTTGCATCAAATTAATTATATTATTGTCTGAACGTTATCGTCGATTCGAAGTTTCTTATAGAGTTTTCTTTTAGTTTTCTGTATACTTGGGTAGTATGAAACTCGGGTATCATTAGGATCTGACGTAGCAAATCGATTTAACTTAATTGCACCGAAAGTGCCCTTTTTGCCACTTAAGCGAACGGCTGTCGGATAATGTTCCAAAACGGATTACGACGGATTATCGGATGTGTATAGTTGCATTATTGCTGGATGGCCGTCCTTCGATCGCAGGAGGCTCGGATGACAACGATGATGATGATGACACGACGAGCGGTCCCTGACGACAGGACAAGAAACGTAACGTAATTTCGCTTACGCATTGTCGTTACGTAATCTTTCCGAGCTAATTTCGTTCCCTTCTATTACATTATGTAGATTCTTCTTTAAAGCTGTATATACACACTACACGACACGATGTGAATGCATGATGTATATAGTTTGTATGTTAGTATCATGCTACACGTAACATGAGAAATAAATGTCTTTCAAGCGTACCAACATTTATATTTGATCGAATAGTTGGTAGTAATTAATTTCGTTGACAGTGAATTGACAGGAAGGATTACACATAGTCATACCAATTTCAATAAACGTAATCATTAATGAAATTATTTTTCATTCATAACGACCACATCCATACTACAATGAGATATCTAAGTAACATGACCTAAGACATAAATGTCTGTTAAACTTACTAACTACTAGTTTTTTAACATTTAATTTTTTGAATATGTTTACAGTGAATAGACAGATATGATATCTCATAGTAATACCAACTTAAATAAACAAATGTCACAAAACATTTTAAAATTGAACCAAATGGTTATTGGTAGAAGTATTTCTGTCATTTATAAAATAATTTCATTATACAATAAAAAGTTTTAGATAAACATTGGATTGTCTTGAATAACATAGTTATTTTCAAAAAAAATATGTCTGTTATTCTTATCAATTGTTTGGAAACATGGAACAAAACTTACATTGTTTAAGAGCATTTTTTTCCATTCATATTAAGAAGTATATACGCAATATAATCAACTACTTATTATTCTTAGTACTTGTAATCTCTTAAAGGCCAGTCACAATAATTAGAGAAAAATGCGAACGCGTTAAAACTTCCAATGAGATAAACAAAAGCGTCTTGTGCAATTATCTGGACAGGTGCGGCTCTGCACATTCAGATATGACTGAAACCACATGCGATCTGGTTTGGCGAGCGCAAATCGAGTTCAACGAATGCCTCCAAGGTTATACCGGATTAATCGGATTAATGACGTGGAACGATGATGATGATGATGCATCATCGACATGGAGCGCGGTTTGTTTCATTGCATTACATTCCTGGCAATTTCGCCGACAAGCAAAACAGATTCTGTTCTATTACATTTTTTTTAGTTATTTATTTTGTTCGGTCCATCTATTGTTACATGTCTGCGATTGGAATTGGACAAAATGGGCGGAAAGTTTCGCGGGTGATTTGTGTGCAAATTTAATTCCGAGCCCTCCGACGATATTGGAAACTAGAACACTGCAATTTGCCTCGGTTCACTGATACATTAGTTATTTATTTATTTGCAACCATTTTATATATATCAAAGAGTTCTTTGTAAGATTTGTTTGAAGAGTAAAGTCTTACCTGTATCCAGAAGGGTAGGTAGAAGCCGGTGCAGCAGAGGAGAGCCGCAGCTAGAGACAAGGTGGCCCAGAGGATGCCTACGCCTGTCAGGGAGGTTGCCATTCTTTCTAATTCCCTTATTTTCTTTCCGTGTGGGGTAAAGGTTGGGATAACTGAACGAAAACTATGTATAAAAACGAACAACTAATAACATTTGCGCACTGAACTACACAGTACACAAGTGCATGCACTATTAGGAAGATTGTTTCATTCCAGTCGGTCCGATGTCCGCGTTTGGAGTGTGCGGTAGCCGGGAGCGGCGGTCCGGGGGCGGCGGGGACATCACGATGGCCATCATCACACTTAAAAGTTTAACGAGCCATTTAAATTCATTTAACTTCAGTATTTGTAGTGCGGAGATACGGCCCAACTATAAATTGATGCAAACGATTCCATCACCGCCATCATAATCAACGAACTATTTCCACGCTTGTTTGCTACGCCACCAGCATCACTCTTTCCCTCCTCTACCCAACCAACCAAACGTCCATCCAGCCCTTTACAATTTACCCTCCTCTTCTCGCTTTGCCGGTTTTAATTCATGCTCTTTCAGTTACTTCATCAATCTGAAACAAAACAAGATAAATCAGTACGCAATTAACAACCAAAAAAATCTACATCCCTATCAACAACATCCCATTATTAAAAATTTTCCTTTAAAAAAAATCATACAAACTTACGAATAAAATGTTCATATTAATTTGAAATATGTGCAAATCTAGTAATACAACGAGTAGAAGATTATCTAGATCAGCGTTTCTCAACCTTTTTTATAGTTGTACTACTCAATTACTAACAGTTTTTCACCAATTCCTCACATTGAGAAACGCTGATGTAGAGTATCATTATTTAATACATTAAATAATAAATCATTTTAGAATTGAAACTATATATAAACAAATTGAAATTAAAAATAATGATAAAGAATTTAACTTAATGAAATTTTTAACGAATTTTTTTCTAATTAAATTATTCATGAATTGTGAATATAGACCAAGAAATTGAACCAATTATGTACGATAAATAACAAGAAAGAAAGAAGTAAAAAAAAAATGAGGGGAGACATCATAAATATACGTGACTTTTGTAGAATAGCTGTCATTAAAATGGGATAGCACAGAGGCTTCAGTGCTTCAATGATCAAAAGAAACCATTCGTACTTTAACAGAGGGAAAAAAAAGCATGTAGACGTGGAATGGCGTTTGAAGAAAAATAACGAGGCAGATATTATTTATCTAATTTATTTTTACATACATAAAATTTATTGAATTGGTTTGTTTTACATTTCAACTGATATTTTTTTAATAGCCAATTTGTTTCCTTCAGAACAATTCAATAGAAGTAAACATAATGGTACGAGTTCATTTTCTTGTAAAGTAAATTAGGAAAATATAAATTAACCCGAAATTAATGAACATAACTTTGACAAAGAGATGAGTGATTGTGCGCTAGGTCATAGAATGCAGTAATTCAAAATAATAACAAGAACTTTAGATAGAAGTTTAGAGTGTCTCTTCAAAGATGGAGGTGTATTAAATTTGACATAATTAAATGACACTTAAGAATTACTAATTAAAATATAAATTTATATGACAACATGTTGATAATATTGCTTTTTAAACAATAGCTTAAGTATACTAATGAATCAAACTTTATACTTAATGGTAATTGTATTTAAGTTTATTCTAGTTGAGAATAAGAGAATTAGTGTAACTATAGAAATCTAGTTATTATTAGATTTGAAATTGATAAATTGATGAACATTAAAAAACTAATGGAAATTATCGAATTGAACTTAAATTAACGAAGTTAAGTTAGATTTATATTTTTTTGTTAATATAAAGGTTAAGAATTTCTGTTAACAAAATATCTAAATAAAATAAACAAAGCATAAGATAATTAGTGATACTCTAAAAATAGATGGAAACTGTGAATGGTAAACTTATGACCAGGAACTGTTTGGAGCTAATTGGTTAATCTGTGTTTCCTTGAACAGAAATCGAGGATTTATTATTGTGTTTATTCCAATTTTAGCTGCCGTTAACCGTATTTAGTCTATTAATATTGGATTGAGTAAACATTTGCGGGATTTATGGCTGCGCAAAGGGCGGAACGGTTCGTACTTCCATCCAATTCCTGTTGATATATGTGTGTGTGTGTGTACTTGTGCGCGCGCGAACCGCTAAAACAATGCTCCTTTAATTAGTATGAATAATATATATGCTCAAAGGTTTGCAACATCAATATTTACTGAATTAATAATAATTATTTAAATTAATGTTGCCAGAATATTAACGTCCATCCCTCAACGAAACAATAGTTTTCAACCAAAATCCATTCGATTTTCCATTATTATATCATAATAATAACGATAATGGATTCATACGCATATCTTTTTATAGCTAAATTTCTTACGTTTAGAACTTCTTTACATTTAACACATTTCAACAAAAAGAACTTTTACGGTAATTGTTTGAAAGCTGTGCGTCTGTCTGGAATGGTCGGAAATCAAAGGAGTTTGTGAGAAGGTTCAATTGCCTTCTCTACATTAAGTATCTCATGCAAATCAAACAAGGAGCATCGATGGATGTGTCGGAGTAAAAAGGATTGGACATGAAAGGAATATGTACGAGTTCGACACTCCAAATCCTGCATAAGCGTATTAAGTCTTATCCTCTTCTGCAGACGTTACGTACTTTATCCCACTGTGCTTCCGTTTTTTTTCATCCATCCCAGAAGACCATTCTCGCATTCACCCAGAGACCAAGACCATTATGTAATTATTGAAGTTGCCTTGAAACGCTGATGACATTTTAAACGTCCGATCGAAACCGGATTTCGTGAGAAACGAAGGATTCTTTTCCTACAAGAAAAATTCAATATTTCTTGTTGGTTTACATTTTGTTTATAAATTTTGTAAAATCTAACAAATACAAGAGTTATTGGTATATGTTCACGTAAATTTAATAAAACAATAGCTGTTAATATAATTATCATAACATAATAATGTATGGACGTTCGATTTAATTGCTTAATTAATTTGCATACGAATCAAATATTAATTAATCATCGCAATTAAATTTAGCGTTTTGTTAAAAATAAAACAGTTCGTTCCCTCAGTCGAGTAAATAATTAATGAAAGTGATTTTGCGTTTTTTTTTTGTGGGAAAAACTAATTTAATGGATGCGTGTATTTCATATTTGTGTTTTTTTCTTTCCGAAAATGTAATTCAACTGATTCCGGTTGCAACGGTTTCGCTTTAAATCCGTGGAGAAGTTCAGGCGAAAGCCTATTGGATTTTCCGGGCTAAACACTGAGGGTTAGATTTATAAGTTAAAGTAGGCACCAGCGACTGGGAGAACTTGCGACAAGGTAGATTTACCTAATAAACACATACAACGAAGGTATGTGCATTCAGTGAAATCAACTAAACCCTTTCATAAACACATGAATTCGCTTTAATCACTATTATAACTATTGTTATAAATCAAAGTGTTTCCTTAAATTTAATTATGACTTCTGTAACGAGTCGTTAAATTTCATTTAATTTTGTTAAAAAATTGACAAACAATATAAATGTATACCAATAACTCGCATAGTGCGGATTTATCGACATTTAAAAACAAATTATATTATTTTTTGTGCTGTTTATTTTTATACAAGTTTTAATTTCATTAATGCAGTTTCAAACAGTGCGGGTATTGTAATTATTAATAATAAGAAACAAAATAAAATTTAAATCAGTACCTCGCATAGTGCGACTTTGATTAGTACGGTTTCACCTAAACAAAGAAACAAATTAAAATTTTAATTCAGCAAAAGAAAAATAATTTTTTAATGCACAAAATATTTTTTTTATATATAAATGATCGTATTAATATAGTCAAGTCTCATTTTGTGCTGTTTATTTTTATGCAATTTTGAAGATTGCTCCGATTAATTATTAATAATTAAACGTGACATCAATTCTGTAAAACACACGTTTTTTTTATTAAATTAAAACATTTATTGGTAATATAATTAAGCAATATAAAATGTAAAGCTATACTTCGCATAGTGCGACTTCGATTAGTGCGGTTTCAAACAGTGCGGTTCTAAATTAATGTGTTTCTAAATGTTTGCAGTTTCCTTTTTGTATTCCCATGCGACTTTCTCATAAAATTTGTAGTCTACGTGGACGTCCCATTGACCATTAATTAACACCTTGATCGTACAGATGACACATCAATCCGAAAGGAATCCGTCCCCGAGGTATTTTCCGAAGCGACGCGATTTCATCGGGTCGTGACCCTAAGATTACACGTGATCAAAGCGCCCTCAAATTGCGGATAAATCAGTTCGAACTTTTGCAGAGAAGATTGTCGATCTCGAATATAATAATAACTCATTTTTAGCTGTTTTTTCAGAGCAAGAAGTTTTCTTCAAAACCTTTCATCTTTGTGAAATTGTGATTTATTTTTTATTGCCAATTATAACTTGATCATTTTTTTCTAAAAACATAACGTGAATTTATTACATAATTAATTATGTATTTTAAATTTGCTCTGTCTATATTATGTAATAATATGGAAATAATGATTTCATAACAATATATAAAATATCCAATATACAAAATTCAACAGAAAAATATAAATGAAACTTAATTTTCATAAAATAAAATTTTAATTAATTATAAAAATAATATTTGGAAAGTTTTTTTAAATAATTTTAATTATTAATTAGACTATAGAAGATTTTGCTAAATCAAATGTATTTTAATTAAATTCAGAATGCAAACAGACATAAATTTGATACAAAAAAATATAGTTTAATTTATTGTTTCAGTTTATTTAAACGGTAAAATTAAACACACACAAATATTCAGAATAATATTTTAATTGACAACCGAACACACAAATATATTGAATTTTTCAATAAAATTTAATAAATGTGGAAACCCATGTAGAAATATTTATAAATTGGTGCAGATCAAATTAAACAACTTTAAAATCTTTCAATTAAAAATTACCAATTTTTTTTTGCATTTTTGATGTTTAGCTTTTATAGAATCTAAATATATAATATATATATTATAAAAAAAAACTATATTTAACAAACCATTTAAAGGTTTTTTTATCAAAAGTTTGAAGACACATTTCTTCAAGCAACAATTTCATAATTGTAATGGAAAATATGTGTTTTTCAGATCTTATTTGTAAAGGAAATCTTCAACTTATGTTGAAAACTATTGTTAATAAATTTTACATTAAAAAAGGTTTTAACGATTATTGTAAGTTTAACGAGCATTTCGCTTAATGAGTTACGATGAGAAAAGAAGTCACAGCTTGCGCGCCTGCTACATCATTTTTAAAACTTCAGTACACATATTATGCGTATTTTTGAATATGTTTCACTATATGAGTAAAAAACTGGAAATTCTGGAACGGATTAAACTCTTTAAGCAAGGTTGAACTGTAATTTAAAAAATATATTTCATAACTGATTAAAAAAAAGTATATTCAAGTTATAAATTGAAATTGGATTAAAGGACATAAAATAAAAATTTTTTTTATAAATAAATTTTAA